GTATGCTTTGTAAGTTATATCTCAATAAAGTCGTTTTTAAAAATCCGTGATGATGCATTAAACATTTAATCTTTAAAGTAATTTGGAAATTAGTCATCTTTGCCACCTTTATTTTTCCAATCTGTATCAACCTGAATCCTTTCTCATCTTGCCTAATTTCTCATGCGTTGTGTTTGTACAGTGTCACAGAAAATTACGTTATGCTTTTTGTAAGGCATCTTATTTTAAATAAATAAACAGTTGTTGCTGTAAACAGTAATACAGCTGAAGTGAGCTTATTGAATTATATGAAATGTTTTTTTCTGAATGTATATATTAATTCTATCAGTCTAATATATCAATTTAGTATATGAATATATGAAGGATTACTTTTTATGTAAATGGTTATTTTATTATAAGTAATCATATTTTGTTTCTTCTTTCCAAATGCAATTACTTTTTCTTTTTTATTGGCTTGTTGTACAGACCAGAGTTTTACATCCAATATTCAATAGAAGTTCGCATGATTGAGCTCTATGTATTCCCATTTTAGGGAAGTGGATTTCAATATTCATTCTCAAATATGAAACCCATTATAAATTTTAATCATCACTGTCAAGTTAGAGTAATTCCACCTCATTCTTAATTTTGTGTTTATTTTAAAATCAATGTTATATTTTTATTTGTGTTGCATCAACTGTAATGAAAAAATTATTTTCTTTGTAAAATACTTATGAAGTAAATTATCTTTATCGCATGCAAATGTAAGATTATCTTGGAATTTGGAAATAAAACTATAGCAATCATTCTGTGTGTGGTTTTACCATGTCTATACTTTATTTACATCAGCACATTTTTCCTTCTCTTTCTAAAATTAGAGTCTGTTTTATTCACAGCTACACATTTGGCAGATTTGTATCAAAGCTATAAGAAAAAGGATTCCTGTGGTTTTCCCTGGTGGTGAAACTGGTTGAAGCGCAGCACTAAGAAGCTAGCTGAAGCTACTTCAGCATGAGTTCGATCCCCGGCCAGGGGAGCGAGCACCATGGCCCAGCAGACCCCTCCTGTCTCACCTGCCGCTGCCCACCTCAGTGTAGTCATCTGCCTGTGCTGCTCCCCACTGTGTCTCGGGTGAATCCCCTCACCACCACTACACCTCTGGCCTATGTATCCCAGTAGTTCTGAATGCACAAAGAAATTTTAAACAAAGGTCTACTTTCTATACAAATGTTTGGTGATTTTCATTTCTAAAATTTTCCAATTCATTGTGAAATTAATATATTTTCATAAAGCTTGCTTATTGGCTGGCGTACCTACTAAAAAGCAGGATAAAAAGGGTCCATACTCATTTTATCATGCGTTATCTACATACAAAAGACTTAGATTTTCAATTGTTTTCTTCAGTAGTATATTTGTTGTTATTAAGTTTATACAATGAGAAAACATGTGCCTTGTGCATGCTCTTTAACTGTTTTGATCTTTGTCACCTGGTTGTGTCATTTATTGTTTTCTTCCATTATTTTAGACTAATTTCACCTAATTTTGACTTTTACAATTTTTCAGTCTCTTTGATACATGCTCAGATTTCTGCCTGTTCCTTTTTGAGCAGTGTGTTAAGATATTTGATGACAAAAGATACAATACTGCTTTCATATTTTCCTTCTATTCACATGACATTGGGAACCTAAATTCTGATAATTCTTTGATTGATAAAGTAAATAGACATGACACTGAATTCAAAATCATGTAGGGATTTCCTTTTTGTGGTTGCTACTATTTTAGGTGAACTCTGTTAGAGAATATTCTTTGAAGCTAGAAATGTTATTTGCTTCTTTAAATAGTGGCTGGAGTGTCTAAGGAATCAATTTGAGCTTTAAAATCCTTCTTTTTCATCCTCCAATTTTTTGATTAGGTGATTGCTACAAAAATGGACTCTTTGTCCCCTCAACTGTGAGACTGGAACTAGGTCATACTTCCAACCGATATTCATTTCAAAGTACAGGCTTTATGTTAATTATAATTTGTTGACTATGTTGTGATTAGGGGCATGAATCAATGAAAGAATAATTGAGAAATTATTTAATATTTCAATGTTGGGATGGTGATATAATTCAGTATTTTGGAAACATTTATCATGCCAAGAGACAATGTTTATCATGGAAACTGAAGCAATTGTCCACAAATTAGAAACCTGAATGCAAAGAAACAGAGAAAAGTTTGTGACCTGCTGATCATGGGACTGTTGTAATAATGTGCTGGAAATGTAATATTTATAATAATTAGTCACATATATTCAATATATATTACATAGGGGATTATGGTTTCTAAATCCATTTCTAAAATAGCTCTATTAAAATTGAATTGACATGAAAGTATAAGAGAAAGATATCTAACACAAAGTTTTAGCAACACTGCAAAAGTAAAACATCTACTATACTCTTACCTAGACTTAAAAGTTCAGGGTCTGTGGTTGAGACAGAAGCAGTTTAACAACCAAGTTTGTGAATTCCTTTGTCCCCTGATAATTGTTTTCAATAGAAACACAATTTGTTAGAGGCATTTGCAATGGACAAACTAAATAACCCACTACAGGCTCAGTCTCCTCTGCTTGGAGGTGTGTGATGAGAAACTGCCTTCACAGTAGCTGGGATTTCCTGTTCAGTTTAAGTGACTCTTTGACAAGAAATCTACTTTTTCCAGTGTGGCTTTACTCTGCACCTTCACAGGGGAGTCTTTGTAAAGCGCAGATTGGGCTTGTCTGTTTCCAAGAGTGACCAGATCTCCCTCTGGAGGATACTGCAGTCTCTGGCCACGAGGAGGTATGTGTTCCTCCTGTCCTGTCTCTCTGCCAGCCCATCATTGATTACAAATACTGTGTGTGATCCAACCATTCATAGGGAGTCAAATTATGGAGGACTCTGGTATCTTTATTGAATGATTTGGAGTGGGACAATAATCATATTAGGAGACATATTATAGATTAACTTAAATATTCAAGTTCTTTACTTTGGGATATTACTCAAGCGCACATATCTACATATACACCAAATATACACATCTACATTTAAATAAGGATAATTTAGTTCTTAAATCAAAGCAATTTTATAAATAATCCCATGGGCATCATGACATGGAACAGTTTCTTTTGGACTTTACAATCATTACACTTATAATTCTATATGTTATTCATTGTTTAACTCAGCCTTAAGACATAGATACTTAGAATTAATTCATTTAATCAAGAAGGGAAAAAGTTATTCTTTATATATTTAATTCTAATAAGATCTGTTTAATTTTTCATACAAATTCAGATGAACTAGTTCCATACAATTTTGACTTACTTATAAACGATCTTTTCTTTTTTTTAATGACAGTAAACATTACAAAAACAATACACAATACTGACAAAAGAGACCCCTGTCTAAGGAAGTCTGCTATATGGACTAACTTGATTAATCTTATATATTAATTCAGTTTATCAGATAATAATTAAAATTACTTGACTTTTTTTGAGAGCTTTAGGAAGGGCAGTTTGGACTTCAGGCTTATTACATATATTACAGCATATATGTTTTTATTCTAGTTTTAAAGCGATTTATAAGCCAAATTGGTGACACTAAGTAAATTTTGCAGATTTCAAAGTGAGAATTAATTTCAGATTCTACACTTTGAGGAACTCATTAATTCATTATCAAATTACATTACCTGATATATTCTAAAATCAATACAATCACAATCCCTCTGGATGTTTGATCAATAGTATAGTCCCCTAAATTATTTTTAAATTATAGTTTTATACTTTCTTATATTTTACAGTCATTCATTTATGAAATTCATGTATACAGTAAATGTCATTTCCTAATGTTTATCTTGTCAATACTGCTTATGATTTCAATAAGCTAATGGATCACATGTTATTTTTTGATAAAGTAAATATTCTTAAAATCTTAGTGATTTCTTAAAACTATACATTGTTTGGAGAACAGTATCATTTTTTACCACTCTTCTCTTTTAAAATTATATGTTCGTCACTATGCAAAAGGTAATTAGAGCAGAAAATTTCTACACATATAATACTGCTAAAACACACTTTAGAATATTCCATCTTGAATCATTAAAATTAGCAGATCATTTTTTCTAATGTTGCACTTTAACAGTTAATCTAGTAGTTTCTAAAATGTTGTTGGTGATGACTTTAAATTACTGTGGATGTTAATATTTGTAAAATTTCCTCATTAACATTTGCCCTTCTATTCCCCAACCACTAGAATTTTGTGAAAAATAAAATGGTATTTTTTAGAATATTCTATATCATGCAAAACTTATTTTAAGCGATAAGGAAATTTTACTCAGACTTGTTCATGATTCAACTGTATTATGAGATTATCACCCTCCTTGCTCCGCCCTCACCACTGCACCAGGGCACTGGCCATCCTGGGGGCGGTCAGTAAGGACTCACCTGCAGCTGTCAGAGCACCGTCTCTGAGACTACTCAGTTTCAAGGGTGAAAGACTACACCGAGAACTCCCAGGCACTGAATCTGGACCCAAGGGCGCTGCAAATGAATGGTAAGGGCATGAAAGCTCCCCTTCACCAAAAGAATAGCAGAGAACCCAATTTTCAAAGTATTTTCAGGATCTTCAGGGGGATGCCAAGAATCTGCAAAGCTGAACATTTACTAGACACACGGTAACTGTTCTGGGCTGTGCAATTGGGGTGTCTGGTGCGAGTTGAAGTTTAAAATATGAATATGCCACTCTGATCCGAAATGAGAGGAGTAATTTTGTTCTTACATTATGGGGTGTTGGAGTCTTTGACAGCAACTCATAGAGCATTATGTTTATTGAAAACGCGATATAATTTCTGGCTGCGGGATTACAACCCGGGATGCGGGTCTGGGATCCACCTCCCACGTGTGACTCCTGCTCAGTCTGGTCTCGGGTCTGTAAACTGTCGGCATTTGCCTCATCTCGTCTCCGTGTTTCCATTTCTCCCCTGAAGACTCGCCCTCACCTCCAGGGATGATTGCTGCTGAGGACCTGGGGATCCTTTTGGTGCCCACAGTCGTAAAAATCATAGTTCTCATCGCTTGTAAGAAAAACTTAGAAATATTCCCGGGATGTTTAATGCTCTAAAAGAATGTCAGAGACTCCCAAGTTCATATTTTGGTAAAGAGCTCTGATTTTACTACATGGATTAAAGAAAACATGGATTTAAAAAAAAATAAACTATTAAATTTACAAGTATATATTTTTATTTTCATAAATACATTTTTGTATAAAAATTGCATTACAAAGTGCATTTACATATAAAGTCATACTTATTATCTAAAGGAGTGTGTATATACAGATATATTCTGAATTTTTACAAAAACATGCTTACTAGACTAAAATATCATATCAAGAAATGCAAATAATTTTTTCAGATATGTTAAAATAAGTACTTTAGTATGTTTTAAATTAATGATGTTCTAATGTAGTCCTAGTTCTCTTTGATTTTTAGTTATTTTTCCTAATATAATTTTGTTCAAGATTATTCTAATATAAAGCAGTGAAATGAACTGAAATTTAGAATGTACAATAAATATATGTATTCAGGTCAACATCATCATTTATAAGGATTATTTAAATGTTTTCTAGTTACTATAAAGTTGGCGCAGAAATATTTGTCAACATTAAGAACCACCAAAGGTAAAAATGATTTTCAAATTGTCAGTGTTGGTATACTTTTTATTTTACATACGTCTTAAACTCTTACTGGTAGTAGACCTCATCTCTGTGTCCAAATTTCTATACGTGATTCCTCGTGCATGAAGATTCACTTATCTGTGAACTGAACACCTGTCCCCGTCTCTCCTTTCTCAGTCTCCATCTCTCTCCCTGCAGGCTCACCGGCTCCTCCCGAGAAGCGCATTGCTGGGGTTTTGGGATGCACCTGCCTTGTGTTGATCTGTGTTATTGTAGCTGTGAAGGTTAAAATCGTAGGTAAATTTATGAAAGATTATAATGATTGTCGGTGCCATATTATAATAACGATTATAACATTTTATAATATTAAGGATTAGAACTATTATGTTAATATATCAGTTTAATTAAATGTTGAATGGTTCATAATAACTTCTCAAGATTATAAATATACAGAATGATTGTGAACATTATTTTATATAGATTGAGATCTCATAATTCAAAATCAAGCTTTAAGAGATTGAAAGACCCTATTGAAAACTATGAGATAATTTTTGAAATGTGGTAACCAATACAGTAGCAGATGGAGAAATTTGACTCTTAATTTTTGTGATATTCCCCCAAATCTTTATTCTTTTATTAATTTTAGAGACAGTCAACTTTATTATAGTATTACTATAACTTTGCAGACATATATTTCTATCTTAGAAATATTGTTGTATTATTATTTACTTAAAACACTAATGGTATTTATAAGAATTACTTTATTTTTTTTTCTAGATACTAAAAATTCAGAGCAGGATGGTTTATCCACAGCAACAGAGAGTCAGAAAGGTACATAATGATATTCATTGATGCTGTAGTTATATTATGTACATATGTTAGGTAACAACAGTCAGAAATTTTCTGGTATTATAAAACAATAAATAAATATTCATGAAAAAAGATCATTGCAGAGGTTCAAATAATCCAACAACTTAGAACTCATGTGGCAAGTTGGCTCATATGCTGCCGCTATTATATGATATAAAAAATTTTACTACTAAAATATGACTTTATTTCCTGATTGCCAGCACATACTCAGTGCACATTTTCTGTGTGCTTCTGGCTTTTATGGGCATATAAACTATAGCATGAGCAGCTGGCCCTTCTCTGTGAATGTGGCCTGTATCAGATCTGGGGTGTGGATGTGCAGGACTGATCATATCTCTGTGTGTCTGATGTGTCTTCTTTTATGAATCCAAATATTTGTAGATAATAATTCAAAATCTCTCTTCAGAATACAGTTGTGGCCCTTGCCCACAGGGGTGGCTCACGTACTCCAACAGCTGCTATTACTTCAGTCCTGAACCAAAAACCTGGAACGAGAGCGTGTCCGACTGTCAGAGAAACAACTCTCAGCTGCTCCTCATAGACAATGATGAAGAAATGGTAAGAATTTCAGTGTCCCCACCACTAATGACATAAGTTAGACTTACTGCTGTCAATTTTATATTTATAGATTCATACATATTTCTGTACTAATCTTAGTTTAAAGTTATTGTAATATTCATTGTTTGACTTTTAGGCTATTCCTACTCTTTTTGCACCTTTAGTGCATACTTGGAAAATCCCAGTCCCAAGCTTTCCTAGAGAACCGTGTTTCCCATATAAATATATACATGCATATAAATAGACATCGTAGTTTGACTTTCATACACATCAAGAATGGTGAGCATACTTTGATCAGAGCTTAATCATCAAATTAATGGAAATTGTATCTGTAGGAAAGATCATGAATAGAAGCCCGACCCCCCGGGGCGCCCAGACACCTGACTGTTCTCCCTTCCCTCCTGCTGTCTGGGTATTTCACACTGACATGTAATTTCATGTAGGGATCCAGGGGCGTGTGCTCTGCGGCAACAGTCCTGAGCCCCACAGCCACCCCACAGGATGACCCAAGCAGGCACAGTCCATAGTCTCAGGCATAGAAAGATGGTGTCTCCCCATGGGGCCTTCATGCTGGACATTGAGCTCACAGTTGTGTCGCTTCCTGACATTGCCAAGGCTGCAGCTCCTGATAACTCCAAGCTGCCAACTGTTACGAAGGCATCAACCTGCCTGAGATTGTAGAAATAAATGTGCTGCATCAGGATTGGGGTCTCTGTCCCAACTTTCACTGGCGCTTCCTCCTGTCCTTCATCTCCTCTGTCCTCCCT